TGACCTGTGTACTTCAAAGATGGATCGATATGGCCAAAAAGGGGGCGGAACCTGTGCAGTTGTGTGCTGCTTACCTCAACACTATGAGTCCTAGTCAGATAATGGAAATACATCAATGCAGTGGGCATCCAGGAGTACAACATACCACATATTTTGTGAGGAGAGTTTGTCCTTCCATGACTAAGGCCATGATATAATCAGACATTGGGATCTGTGTAGAGTGCACAAGAACAGATCCTGCACAAGAACAGATCCTGCACCAGTCCATTGAAAAAAGAGCAGACTAGCAGTGACCAGTACTTGGCACTATCTTGGCATGGATATCATTCAATATCGCAGCAGTACCTGTCACATTTTTCTGTATGGCGGCTGTTACACCACCAAGACTCATTGTGTATCATATGTCAGCTAGAGTTTTGTGTTCTGTGAGAGGGGACAACCACGTAAGATGCTGACAGACAATGACACCACATTCTGCAGTAGGGAGTTTCAGGCCTTTGATGTGCACAAGTCCCAGCAGGAAATGGAACAATGGAGCAGTGTCAGTGAAGTGTCCATAGGATTATGGCCAGGATGAAGTGTAGTGCTGAAGTGGTCACCTGGTGCAATATAACCCCCAAAGATGACACCTCACTACTGACTGCACCAGCAAATCAACTTGAAAGATACGAGGTCTAGCTTAAAGGGATTGATTCAGCATCTCCAATGATGTCTCAAGTGGGCCACAACATTTACAAGGTGGGGGACTATGTATGTGTAAAGGCCCCACACAACCAGTGAACAACAACTTTCAAGAAGGTACGAATTACTGGACTTGTTAGCCCACAATCAGTCTTGGTGGACGAAACGCTCTACCATGTCAGGGACCTTTGTCCTTTCCTGAGTTCAACAAATAAAGAGGATGATATGTCCAAAAGTGAGGATGAAATCCTCGTGAATGTGGATAGGCCAGAAGATCCCATGGAGGAAGAATCACATGGGGACAAAGTGGAGTAACATGAACCAGTCCCACTTTGGAGAAGCACTTGACAAAAGAAACCTACTCCAAGCTGTTGTATCTGTGATCAGGAGATCAGGGTGGAGTGTGACAAACACACGTAAATACAGATAAAAAAGAGGCCTTGGATCACATTTGGGCATGTTTGATAATACCAGTTACATCCGGGTTTTTTCCGTTAGCAGCTAGACAGTTCATGGCATGTCTACATATGGGCCACTCTGCAACTGGTCAAGATCCAAGTCTTTATAAGATGCCTCATGCTAATAAAAGCTAGGGGAAAACAGCAATAGGAGTTGGGAAGACATGGTGTCTTGTGAAGTCAATCCCATGGCCATTGTTGTTCCTCAACTTATGGTTTCTGAGGCAGTGTTATTTTTTTTTGTTACCTCCCGTTTCTTTCTCTTCTCTCCCTATTATTTTTCCACCTTTGATTTAAGGTCTGGCTATTGGCAAATAACTCTCAACAAAGTTGATAAGAAGAAAGCTGAATTTGTCTGTCATATTGGGTTGTACCAATTCAGAGTTATGCCCTTCAGGCTGGCCAATACACCTGGAATTTTTCAGTAGGTCATGTTGATAGTGCTGGTGAAACTTGAGAAATTTTATATGGCTGGTGTGAGGGTCTTGCTCCTATTCATCCTCATAATCCCAACTGGTGTGTTGAAACACAGCCAAAATATCATATTAAAACAATCTGACATAGTGATAATCACCAAATCAAAGTGGATATTTAGTAAGGGTTAACTAGAAGGGTTGAAGCAAATTAAGAATATGGGTTGCTCTGCCTTTGGAAAATCTTTAACCCACCTGCCTTACTATCAGGCGGAGGAAAAATTTGAAACCCGGGACTCCTTTCTAACTTTGGTAAATTTTTTGACTAGAAAGTGTGGGCTGTGTGAGCCGCTAATAAGGAAAACAAATATAACTGCACACTAATTGCATCAATTGTTAACACCATTAGATTTATATGAATTAGCAGACAATTTAGTGATAGTGTGCAGGACCCACCCTACAGAGGGGAGACCTGACTGCAAATATTATACTTTAGTTGTCAGTAGTTTGGCAACATGGTTATCATAGTACTAGTATTTGTTTTGGTAGATTATGGGAGACTTGGACTGAAAAAGCGTAAAGTATACAATGAGCAGGTGAGAAAATGTGAGGGCAAGGAGTAGAGATTAATGGACCCCAGGAGTCAGGTGGATTTGAGAGAGGCTACAATTTCTCACTAGAAGGAAAGACATTTGTAGCCATCTATTTCACATTTTGGGTGAGTTTCTGAAGAAAAGGACAATATAAACTTTTTGTTTTAATATCGATCCCTTTAAGAATAAAATAAAAGTGAAGAAATTTTCACCCTTGCATCTAATGATTTTATACTACACAAGAATCCACCAGTAGACTGAATATGAACACTGTTGTGGTGTGTGTGTGTGTATATATATATATATATATATATATATATATATATATATATATATTGTATATTTAGGCAGCAATCCATTCCTTTATGCATGTTTCATTAAAAACGACAAACAAGGTACTATGGTTAAGCTTTTTATTTAATTTTTCTTGTGTTCGAACAAGACCTTTCTTTTCTGGACAAAGGGTGTGTAAGAACTGTCCAAATGTTTTATATTTCCAAGTGCTTTCGGCTATACCATTAGCCATTATCAAAAAAAAAAAAAAGCTTAACCATAGTACCTTGTCTGTTGTTTATATATATATTTATTGATGACATTTTTTTATAGTCTTGTGTGTGTTCTGTTGCAAATTGTTTTAACTTGTGATAAACACTGTTTCATTTTTTTACCGAATTTTTTAATATGTTAAATGAAAAAAGGCATGAAATGTACTCATTGTGCAGCAAAACGTGGGCTTTGTGCATCTTGTTTTGTGATGAATGTCATGTGATGACATTCCTTATTTTCTCTGGCTTTTGTCTTGATGAGGAGATAAAAATGGTTTTCACTTCAGTGGTGTGCTAAAATGTCATTTTTTGTGGGGGTGGGGAGTTATGAAATGAGAAAGATTCGAAGAGGTAGTTCAAGTTCTCTTGTTTATTTTGGAAGGTGAGTAGAAATAACACTTCCTGTGATCTTATTAACTTGAAGGATGACTAAAATCTTCTTATTTTTTTGTATTGTATTTCTCTTAGGAAGATCTGAAGAGTGACACTTCCTGTCATGTGACATTTTTCTAGTGATGTCTTGAACAGAAGAGAAGAGCTGCTAATCATCCTCTGATATATTACAACATTTCAAGGGGGAAGGGCCCATCCAAAATTTATCCATCTTTAGATTGACCTACCGTCAGAGGTGGTTGGGGTCCATCTGCATATTTCTTTATGTGAAATATCAGTTCCATGTTTTGAGCTGTACATGAAATATCGCTATTGTACTTGCCTGATTTATTTTAATTATTTTTATTGACTGTTCTGTAGTTTTGTTTTTGTAATTTATATAATTAATGACAAAATTTAGTGGGGGAGAATAGTAACAATATGATTTCTCACATATCCTTAGGAGTGAAGTAGATTCTTTTTCCTTTTAAGTCAATTTACAGTTTCTTAGGAATATCATCTCCAGTCCATCCTTAAGTCAATTTAATTGGCAGAGTTTTCAGGATTCTTGTCTCCAGCCAACCTTTGAATTGGCAAACATAAAATTTTGTTAGTGATTTTAGATAATCATAAAAGTAGAGTTCATTTGAAAAACTGACCACCCAAAAAGCTGAATGGGTGATCTCTATTTCCAGAACACAAATGGACAGATAGGAGCAGTGGGACCCCATCCAGTATCCATATAAGCAGAGAGAAGCAAGAAGTTAGTAATAAGTGACCAGCAGCCAGTAAATAAGTGACCAGCCATCAGTAAGGAAGGGACTGGCAGCCAGAGAGGGAGAAGGGTCCAGTAAACAATGAGGAATCAGCAGTCACTTAGAAGGTCAGTGAATGTAAGGGTTCACTTTCCGTAATCAGAAGTTAGTAAGTGTAAGTAAAATCAGGAACAAACAATAGGAAGGGAATGGGTTGGCCCAGCACCACCTGCTTCCGGAAGAAAGAAAACTCCTCAACTTCAAGACAGGTTGCTCAAAACAATTTAGCTTCAACACATTGAGGGCTGAACAGTTCGATGGAATTACTCTATGTAAAATACAAACAGTCTCAGTTCTCGGTAAGAAGGACACAGTTTCCGGTGAAGACAACAACACTTCAGTTCGAAACACACAACGTAGTTATCCAAAAAAAACAATCACCTTAAAACTCCACTGATCTTTGCACTCAATAACAACACCGCCTTGTAGTTCGCTACACACCATCTCCCAAGTGGTCTCCCGCCATCACCTTTATGCCAGCGAACACCAACCAATTTGCATACGGACAAGTTCACCTCTCGCCAACCCTCGCAGCTACAAGATCGTGTTTCCCATAAGACCGACTCACCGTAATGGCGGTGTTTCTTCCTTCGGATCAATTACTGCCCTGCACGCCAGACACTAACAAACCCTCTTATGTCGAGAGCTAAAGTTAGTCTCACTTTCATGTCCACAGTAAGATAGCAGTCCACCTTGACGAAGCCGAAATACAACATAGACAGCTAGGTAAGAAATTATATTGTTGCTATTTCCCAACCAGTGTCTTGGAAAGCATTTGTCATTATTCTTTGTTGAATTCAATCACGGCCAAGGAAACAAACCTGTGAACATAGCTTGTTGGGTTTATATGCACATACAACAGACTGTGCACAACAGACTTGTGGAGTACATCATCACATAAAGCATGTTTTTCATTCTTTTTTCATTAAGCTATTCCATTCTGTTCATGAAGTATAATTTTATTATAATAATAATAATAATGCCCATAATAGAAGAAATTCTAATGGGAGAATAATTCTTCCTTCTATAGCAACTTCTCATTATAAACCCAACTAGAATTGGAACTCGGCTCTCTAATTAGCAATTCCGAGCAATTATCCATTACACTACCTACATATCACAGCTTACAGCAACTGGTATTCCCAAGCGCTAACCCATCTAGGTACTGACCAGGCTCAACATTGCTTAACTTAAGTGACTGTACGGGAATCAGTGTTTCAATGTGATGTGACTGTAAATCAGTGTAGAGGATTACTTAATGAGGCGTGTGATATTAATGAAAGAGAAAGTGGAAAGAAATGAAGATTATAAGGATAAGGAGGATAGATAGCAATTGGTCCTTGGTTTATGGCAGTGTTCAAGGAAGCACCCACATGGGATTTTTTTTCCCACCAATTAGCAGTTTTCAAAAAAAAAAAAAATCTGTAAGAGTGGAACTTTCTTACATTTGAAATGTGGAGAAAATGTGGATGATTCAACACTATAGATGTGGCATGGTCAGCCCTAGCTGTCAAGGTCTGAAATGTTAAAACTAATGAATGGAGGACATCTTAACATTTGCCATTGAAATAACTACATAACAGTGATAGTATTGCAATGTTACATCTGTGGAAAAGAGGCTGTAGAGTGGAAAATAAGTCCCCCACTCCAAAAGACCCTGTGATTGTGAACCCTACTAAGGCGAGAAAGTGAGGACCAGGTAGCTCCAACTCAGATATAAGAGCTTTACTTTGCATGATACCAGTAAAAAAAATAAAAATGAGGTTTATTTTACATACTGGTGTAACTGTACCATCAAAATTGACAGCAAAAAGAAATGTATTATAAGTAATATGTATTATATTGTAAGTAATTTTCATTTAATCCATGTGTAATTTTGTAATTTAAAATAGTTTGTTAATGTTAATAATTGAACAGTGTACAATTTATAAACACCTCAGGAAAGATATCCGTATTTTATCCTCATAAATGTTACATATTTACAATAAAAATTTTTTTGCAGCAAAAGTTCCCAAAGCACAATAATAAAGCTTCTACTTAGGTTTTTGTTAAATGTCAAAATTCTGAATGTCAAGATTCAATACAATTTAGTTCTGTGAACTGTGTCACTCTAGGGAGTGGTTCTCTTTGTAGTTCACTGCACCCTCCCTCGCTAACCCATGCGAACAGAGAGGGAAAGAAGGCAATTACTTTGTAGTTAGCGTTTTGCGTATGGATGTGAACAGGGGCATTTTCACACTACTCCTCAATTGTTACAGACAAAAAAAAAAAAACTGATATTGATCCAATGTGCTTTAGACAACTCAGCCACAGAGAGCATCATGGCCCAACAAGGTTTTATTTACCCCTTTAAGGAATGCACGTTCCCTTGTTTAGCACATCAGGACAACCTTCAAAAGCTGGACAACACTTCGCAGATACCTCTCTCAAGTAAGACCCCCCCCCATAGAAGAGAACATGACTAAAGACTGTGTGTATGCCATCCCGTGCAGCAGCAGAAAGAAATATAAAGGGGAGACCACCAACTTCAGGTAAGGCTTCAAGAGCACCAAAAAGCTGTAATACGAGGGGAAGTGGAAAAATTAGGCCTGGCTGGTTATGGAGAAAAAAGGAAGATCACCATCATCTATATGATCGGGTTGAAATCATAGAAAAGAACATCACTGGAAAATTTGTAAACTTAAGGAATCAGCAAATATGCTAGGCCACAAAAATCTCCTGAGCCAACCAAGCATAGAAATGAATACAATATGGGAACCAGTAATAAGGAGTGCCAGAGAAAAGTGATAATAACAATGAAAATTGCAATATGAGCTCTGGTAAAAAAAAAATGCAATGATAACAGCAAAAATTGCAATATAAGCACTATTAAAAATGGTTGCTGAAGATATTAAGTTTATAAGACCCAGAAATTCATACACAGATGTCCTTAAGGACACATGGAAACAGTGGATAAAGGTGTTGGTTAGTGACAGGACCCAAAGAGCTGTGGGTTCAATGGTTAAGGCAGTGGAGAACTTGGAGAGGGGAATTAACATGAGATAACTGATATCCATTAGACATGGCACGTGGAACTAGACCAGTCTACCCCAGCAAGCGAAATAAAGGGTTCAGTTCAACATTCAAACTGCCTGAAAAGGGCAGAGGGTACAACAGTTGAAACGTTGTGATAAATATGGCAACAAAGATGAGGACAATAGTCCGAATAATATAAATAGTGTACATAATACCTCATCTCAGAAATATAGACAGACACATTTTCTTTATTAAGTTTTCTTGAGTGCACAGATTGGTAGACATAATAAACCTTTTAAAATAAAATAAAAAAAATATCTATCTCCCAAAAATTTAATTTTATATATATATATATATATATATATATATTATAAATTATTAGCTGTAGAACAACATATATTATTATAAACTACACTATTACCTGTAGAACAACATTTTCGCCTGGAAAAACACGATTTCAAAACCCATGCCAAATTCACTATAATTGAGAGAATAGAAAAGTTCAGAGCAGATAACATTAGAAAGATTTTAGAGTTCCATGAAAATAAGTGGATACAACGTCTAAAAACACAATACCCAGCCGGGCTAAATCATAAATTTAACAATATAGATAGTACTAATATATAACACTACAAATCAAAACCTACCCACATTTCTCACCCACACAAGACAGACATGCTTACGGAGGTGTTGAGGCCTCACACTTATACACACACCCACACGAATATACACACTTACACACATCATACTCACTCACTCCCTAAGAACCAAATAACACACACACAAACACTAAACAGAGACACTTCCCCTCTCCAGGAGCAATAAAACTGTCAAACTGACCAAGGGGATTCAGAGAAGCATAGATCCATCCAGCTCTTATCTCAAATAACAACTTAAAAGAGACTGCTTGACCAACACAAGGAATGTTAAAAGATTCATGTTAAAATGATAAAAAAAATTAAAAAAACAAATGAAAACTACAGACAAAAGTTCATTTTCTCCATCAAGACATTCATTTCTGTAGTTTACTGCTACCAGCAAGCAGAAATATTTCTTCTCCTGATGATGGCTATTTTGGCCGAAACTAGTCGAGGAATCTAAATGAAATAATAATAAAAAAAACGAAAGAATATTAATCTACAACCCAGTGTGTCTGAAGATTTTAATTTTTTAATATTTTTTATTGTTCAATATATACATATATATATATATATATATATATAAAAGTGAACATTGAAGTCAACCAGCTGCATCATGCTAGATGCAATTGTCAGGCCATGTATTTATATTTATATGCTCCATGTCTCATATTAAGCCCTTTATCCCATAAATATAGCAAACCTTAAAACTATATTTCTTTATATATATAAAATGGAAAATTATAAACAAAACTAGAACTTGTAAAACTTGGGATGACCCATGCCCTTTATGCCTACATGAAAAACTACACATTAAGTTTCTAAATAATAAAAATCAATAGACATGAGTTAACAGTTTTTTGCCGACATCATAAAATTTTTGCATTGAATAATTACCATAAAAACAAACAATAAAATAATTTTTAAAATCCATAGTCCTGATAAATAGTTTAAATGCCCTACCAAAAAAGATAACCCTTTATGAAGTCGTCAAAAAACAAATGTTAGCGATTTACGACAGTTTTTATATACACAAAACCCTTTCAGAAAAAAGAAAAAATAAGAAAAAAAAATAAATAAATCTCCATAGACACTTAACCAGACTATGTGATGTCTTCTTCCGCTTTAAATTTAGACACCCCAACCTTACCCTGACTTGACATCTGTGAATGTAACCGAGATATTGATACAAATTATTAACACCTCACGCCCCTTTTTCTTTAAACAATTGCTCTAGCCGTTACCATAGAAATTTTGATTTTAATTATGAATATGCTTATAAAACACGTAAATTTCAGAAATAAGTTATTCCAAAAAAATTTCGCTTAAAGATGGAACAGAGCTAAGTACTTTAATTCAGTTTAATTCAAATAATTATACTGAAGTTTTCGGCTCTTGTTTTGAAACATGAGAACTCTTATGTAGCATGTTGGAATCATATTTTTAAATAAATAATTATATTTATGCTCTACTTTTGTATCGAGCACTATTTTCTAAAAATAATAACAAAAATACTAAAGAACTTTGGATTATTTACCTAACGAGTTCTTTCCTATTTTCTATATATTTTTCACACATATATATATATATATATATATATATATATATATATTAATTTAAAGAAAAAACAGACCACTCTAAGGTTCCACTGTTATAATTTATTTCACCAGAGATTTTATTTTTGTCTGGATCTTCAGACTTCACTTTTTTATTTTTATTACAAAACTTAATATTGAGGTGGAAGGGGGGGAGGGTAATTATCAGACATTGATCTATTTAATCGGTTAACTCACCAGAAATGATATGGGGAAAAAAAAGGAAAAAGTAAAAAGGTGGGGAAGTAAAGAGATAAGAAATAAAAGAGGGACATAGGATTTTGAAGGAAGGAGAGGGGTGGTATAACTTGATGTTTTGGGCAATGTAGAAAAACACAGATTTTAATGTTTGATAGTAATTTAAATGTTTAAATACTCCACAAATAAACTAGATTTAATGCTTGATAGTAATTTAAATATTTAACTTTTCCACAAATAAATTAGGGATCTAATATAAACTGAATATTAATAAACAAATATAAAAATAAAAAGTTACTAATAATAATATTTTCATATTGGGAATGAAGTATTTAAATTTTCTCTTAAATTTTACTGTTAACATTAGATAGTGAATTAAGTGTTTAAATTTAATAAAAAAAAAAAAAAAAAGTACACACCTACACATACACATACACAAGGTGTATCAAAAATACTTTTACTAACTTTGGGGATGGGTTTCTCACACCAAAATGAGGACAAAAGATAAGGTAAATTTTTTTTTTAGTTTGAGTATAATTCATCAATTTAATCTGAACTTTGGGGATGGGTTTCCCCATACCAAAATGAGGACAAAAGGTTAAGGTAAAATCTTTTTTTTAGTTTGAGTATAATTCATCAATTTAATCTGAAGCCATTTCTAAATGAGTAATATTTCTTAATTAAAGTTTAAGTTTCAAATCAAGATGAAGTAAGATTTGAAGGTAATTATCAAAGAATTTACTGTTTTTACATACACACACCACATACATATTTACGTAAATACACATACACATATATTCGTATACATGTACAATTACATATATAACTACATACACATGTATTGATACATATCGGTATACACATACATACATACATACACAAATATTTACATATATATATTTCCACACACATCCATCTTTATACATATTTAAATTTTCTCTTAAATTTTACTGTTAACATTAGATAGTGAATTAAGTGTTTAAATTTAATAAAAAAAAAAAAAAAAGTACACACCTACACATACACAAGGTCTATCAAAAATACTTTTACTAACTTTTGGGATGGGTTTTTCACACCAAAACAAGGACAAAAGTCCATATAAACAGATGTCAGAAAATTTGTTTTTGAGTTAAGTTTAAAGAAAGTTTATGGGAGATGGTTTTGTGTTGCCATGGAGATGTTACATTTGTCAATTGTGTCACATCCTTGAGTAGTCTGTTTTCAATGTTTAACAGGTGTAGGAGTGAGTTAACTAAGGAGTGGTCTATTTAATGGCAGCAGAATATTGGTATCATGAGCTGCAGATATGATTTTTAAAATATAGCTGCAAAAATGGTAATGGATGCAAGACAGCACAACTGGATCAGATTGCATTTCCAGACCAAAAGCAACTGAGTCATCCAACTTTTGCTGCTGTTTATCGTTGGGTTCCCAATACAGGATCTGTGGCACAAGGAAGATCCGCTCTTACACCTGACTACAAAGAACACATTCTACAGGCTGTTGGAAACAATCCAGGTATCAGTACACATCAAGAAGCCCTAGCATGTTGTAAAGTCTCATAGTATTGTATAGAGGGTAATTTAAGAGCAGCTCCTGAATTCTTATCATTTGCAATATGCACAGGGTCTTTTGCCCTTTGATCACTCACCTTGGGAGAACTTTTGCCGATGGTTTATTGCACAAACTGCCGATCCATTGTTTGTCTCTTCAGTCTTGTTTACAGACGAGACAACATTTGGAAGAGATAGAATAACAAATTTACACAACCAACATTTGTGGGCAAATCAGAAACCCCATAGTACAGTAAGTTAGACATCAGCAACAGTTTACAATTAATGTGCAGGCTGGGATTGTAAGTGATATTCTGATAGGTCCATATGTTCTCCCAGCAGGAGCTGTCTACAGGGGATTTATTTCGAACACATCTCTAGACCTGCTAGAGGATGTACCCCTGCCAATACATCTGTTTTATGCATGATGGAGCTCTGGGGCATTTTAGTCACATTATTCACAATGCTCTGGCTGATATTTACCATAAAAGATGGATAAGTAGTAGAGGAACGGTTCCATGACCTGCACATTCTCCCAACTTTAATCCTTTGGATCTTTACCTGTGGGGCCACCTAAAACAATTGGTTTATGCAGCAGACATTAATAATGCAGTAACACTTCATCAACATGTCATGGGACCTGCAAAACCATTTGCCATTGTGTGGGAGTATTTGAAATGGTCTGCCAATCAATGACCCAATGAGTGAAAGTGTGTGTAGAAGCAAGCGGAGGATATTTTGAACATTTGTTATGAGCTGCTGTGTGGAGGTACAACAATGGCCTTTTGGACATATGTTTATGTGGGCATTTTACCTTGTATTGCCATCAGGAACTGGCCCCAAAGTTTGTAAAAGTGTTTTTAGCTTGTATCTTAGATTATGCATTTAAACTTTAAACTTCATAACTCAAAGATGAAGGATTTGTAGACGTATGTTTATATGGACATTTGTCCTTGTTTTGGTGTGAGGAAGCCGCCACCAAAGTTTGTAGAAGTATTTTTGATACCACATGTATGATTTGGACCGTGATTACAATTCTAATGTAATAAATTATAACCATGGAATATTAGTGTTTGAGCCTTTTATATTATATTGTTACTCTGTCCTGGACATTGAGTTCTAGCTGATTATATCCTCTGGTAATTTATATATATATATATATATATATATATATATATATATATATACACACACTGACCACTAATATTATCTATATATATATATATATATATATATATATATATATATATATATATGTGTATATATATATTGACCACTAATATTATATATATATATATATATATATATATTGACCACTAATATTATCTATATATATATATATATGTGTATATATATATATTGACCACTAATATTATCTATATATATATATATATGTATATATATATATATATATATTGACCACTAATATCTATATATATATATATATATATATATATATATATATATATATATATATATATATTGACCATAATATTATCTATATATATATATATATATATATATATATATATTGACCACTAATATTATCTATATATATATATGTATATATATTGACCACTAATATTATCTATCTATATATATATATATGTGTGTGTGTGTGTGTATGTATGTATCATTAACTGCCAATCTGTTCACTTCCACACAACAGAATAGCAAGAGAAATTGATTAATTGATTTGTTTTTTTATTTTAGTAGTTGTGTATAAGTGAACATAACTAACTTGACTGGAATTTAAACTTTAGTTCTCCAATTTAAGGAAAAGCAAGAATTTCATTAGAAACAAAGAAAAGAGTCCGGAGCTGTTATGTTATATCCATCCTTCTAGATGGCAGCGAATGATAGACAATCTCCCCACAGATGAAAAAGAAACTTGGAGCATTATTCTACAGAAGGATACTGAGAATACTGTTGACCAAAAAGATGAGCATGAGAAAGTTCTAGAGAAAATGGAAACAAAAATGACACATATACTTATAATCAGTGTGAGACAGAAAATTTGATAATCCCAGGACAGACTGAAAGCAAGAGGGACAAAGGAAAACAACACATAACCTACCTAATGAGCTTGATGGAAGCACAGGGCTTGAGAGAGAGAGAGAGAGTCAAAAAAACAATATTTATTAAGAGCTACAAAGGGCAGGAAATTGTGGAGAGCTATGATTGCCAATGTACTGAAGGTGCATGACATATAGAATAAATAAAGGGTGAGTAAGAATGTTAGGAATATAAAACCAATCAGTTTGTGTGGAAAAGGGTTGAAAGTTTTGTGGGTCACAAGTACCTCTTCTTGTCACTGTCAAACAGAGAAAATTGGTGCGGTCTGGACACATTACAAGGCATGACAGCCTGTGCAAGACCATCATGCAAGGCACCCTTGAAGGTGGGTGTAGCAGAGGACGCCAACACAAAAAACTGGTTGGAGACAAACAATGGACAAGTATGACAATACCAGAATTGCTGATGACTGCTGTTGATAGACCGTTGTAGGGGAAGATTCAGTGTGGATTCTGCATTCGGATTCCCCCTATGATTACAAAAGTCAAGAAGATGACGATGATGATGAAGAACGGAAAATGATAAGATAATTGAATGAAAGCAAGGGAAGAACAAACGAAAACATAGACAAATATTTAAAATAGACTTGCTGAGTTTTTTTATTACTCCTTTACCCTTTTGATCTTTTAAAGTGGGTGAAGTTTTTTTTTTTTTTTTTGTTTAGTTTTTTTTTTAGGACTGTAAGAGTGACACACACCCTATACGGGAAGGAACAGTAGAATTTTTTATTTTTTTTAATCTTCCGAAAAATAAATATTCCAAAAAACTTTTTACTTTCATTAAGTTTCATTCCTTACGCTCAGATGAGTTTTTATCTTTCAGAGTTTTCTTTAAAAACAAAAAATTATGTAAAACTTACTCTCGTCTCTTTCAACTCAAGGATAAGAATGGGTTTAAGTTTTTGAAACCATTTATTGCAATAATTTAAAATAAATTTTCCTATTTGCAAGAAAAATCTAGTCTTAAAAATAGGAAAAACCTAAAGTAAAACTTAAAACCAGAATCTTAAAGTAAAGAGAAATTTATTTTTTAAAATATATTTTTGGTCCAATCACACCTTTTTAAGTGGAGAAATTAAACTTGTTAATGGTTAACCGAGTTATAAAAAATTTGAATTAAGGTAAAAATAAAAATGAATCTTACGTTATGATTTATTTAATCATTTTCATGAAATTGGAAAGTAATTTATAAATCATAAAAATTAACATTGGCTCCCAGAAAAAGACCTTTTTTTAGTATTTTTTTATGAAAACAAACTTTATTCTTTAATTAAAATAAGAAGCCAAAATTGCCTAATATCCTGCCACTAAGAAAAGTTTTTAAAAACTTTAATATTCTTCTCTTTATGATGACAAATTACAAAAAGAAATAAACGTAGAATTTAAAAGAAAAAAAAAAGAAACACTAACTTTTTTTTTTAAACATTTTAATTACATTTTAAATTAAATGGCTGGAGTTGATCGTAAAACTTTAGGAAAAAAAATCAAACAACATAGAAGAAATAGTTTAAAAACATATATGTATTTTTTTCTGAAGGATTTGCTGATAAAATGCTTAAATATTTTTAAAATTCTCTTTATTATGCATTAAAAATTACAATTCTACATTAAGCGTTCTAAAATTGGGGGATCAGTTATTAACGATATTTACATATCAAACAAGACCCCCATTTTATAAACACCTGTCTTTTTTAAAGTAAATACAGATATAGAGGATTCGTAACGATATAACAAGTCGACACTAAGTTTGCTGGTTCTTAGATTAAATTCAAAATAACGAAATTGAGGATGTAATTAATAAAATTAACTTTATTTTTTAACAATATAATGACACGCCAGCTTATTTTTTTTTTTTGTCTGATTGTTATCATTGACGAACAAGCTTACCTGTAAACTGTCATTTCATCGTGGTTTCGAAAGTCTATGTAGACATTATATTCCCAGTATTTAAAGAGCAAAATGAAGCGGGTTACCCTTTAAATTTTTCTAAAGAATTTTTTTTTTTTTTTAGATTTTAAACTTACAAGTAATACTCAAGTTTACCAACCACCAGTAAAGAGAATGCCAGGAGAAACCAGTCGATAAAAAAAGTACGATTAGCGGCTTGATAATAGAAACATCCGGTGACGAAAAATATAACTTAAAACTTTTTTCTGAAATAAAACAAGCTAATATTTATTGCGTTTCAAAATTAATTTACTGAAATCGATCCATTTAAAACTTTCTAATACTCAAACGTTAATTTCCAAACTGAGAGATACTGTTGCACGCGAACATGGTGTTTACGATATGTCCGAAATTATTAATGGTTCCCTGTCCCTGGTTATTGCATAGCTATCGTTCACTGCCTCAACACGTATAAACAAAAAGCGTATGCCTTGCACTGAAACATGACAAGACGTTTTAATCTTAATGGATTCGTACTAGCTTCAACCGAGATGCTTGGTTAATTAAGTTATGTTGACTGGCGCCAATGGTCTAGCTGAGTTCGGTACTTTCTCCTCACGGAACTAGAGAAGATTGGTACACCGCAATTAATTTTCCTACGCACCGCGTTTTTTGACTCATGTCCTTGTGTCATACAAAGAAAAAATGGAAAAAAAAATAGTAGCTCAAAAAAAAGGACTCGGATATTGTTACCACTTACAGAGTTGTTGCCGAGTGAAATAGAATACCTCGTCGTGGATTAGCGGTTAGCACATTAAACCAGATTCCTTGTCAAACGGAGCTATATAAATTTTTTTAATGTTGTTAAACTTAAAGCTAAAATCAAATCTTCAAGAATGCTTTTTCATTTTTAAAAATTCATTTTAAACCTTAGATATCGAAAATTTATACCGAAAAAATGGATGTACCTAAAAGACGCACCCCTCCCTAAAAAACAAAAATAATTCGGGTGCATTCATGTGACAGTATTAATTTAAAAGCCAGTAATAAAATATGTATTGCAATATGTTAAAAAAAAAGTGTCTATAATATTCCCCCAAACATTATTAGCCTTGAACTTCTCTATAAATTACCTCATCCAGAGGTGTGACAATTTCATATCAACTTCTGAAACATCAATTGTCTTAAGGTGTTTCTTGATTCTTACTTGCCCAATATATGCTTCTACATGATTAGTACAGGCCCCGTCATTGGGTCAGCAAAATTCTGATTATGGATGCCAACTAAATGTTGAAACCCAAGCGCAGCTAACCCGTTATAAAGCAGCCCATCCGTCACCTGGTGTAACACAATTGGAAGTAAAGTTTCCGCACTTCTCTCAGCAACAAGCACTAGATATCTTTCTTTTTTTTAATCAATATCGTAAAGTATAAAAAAAATCAATTCTTGACGTACTACTCTTCCAATTTCTCTTAAAGAAAGACGAGATAGGGTGGGTCTAACAACATTTTAAGTATCGTGGACGAACATGGCTCTCCACAACTTCCTATACTTCGTGGGTCTTCGCAATGTTTGTTCTACTACTACTTACTACTAAGTTAACTGCTATCCTTCCCCCGTCCTGGGTAAGACGATAAACTACGTCCATCAGCAAGGCCTCTGATCAGGAGGTTTCGAGGAGCGTGGGACCACCTCTTAATTGCTGGTGTTCCCACGTCCACCCTGACCCGGGGTGTTAGCACCTGTTAGGGTCCCAGCTATGGGAAAATAGTTAACCCCGAAACCGGGGTAAAAACACTATGAAAGTGTAAAAATAGGTTTTAATACCAGAAATATTTTGTAAAAAAGTTATTACTAGCAATAAATTTTTGAAGAAAAAAAACTATTACCAGCAATGCATTTGTGAAAAAAAAATAACAACGTTTTTGAAAAAGAAGAAAACAAATATTACTAGCAATAAATTTTTGAAAAAAAAAAATATTACCAGCAATACTTTTTTGAAAAAAAATATGACCAGAAATACATTTTTGAAGGAAAAATATTACCAGAAATAGATTTTTGTCAAAAGAAAATATTAGCAGCAATAAAAGTTTTGTCGGCATTAAATAACGCATTGAGTTTGATATGCCTAAACCAAACCAAACCAAACTATCCTTCCCCATCAATGTTCTGATATACACTGTAACCCGGATGTAAGAAAAACCCGGATATAAGAGAGATTTTCTCTGGTCCCAAATTAGAGCCCATACTTACCTAAACAAAATAGACCAAACCCGGATATAAGAGAAACCCGGATATAAGAGACTTCTTCTCCGGTCCCGACAATTCTCTTATATCCGGGTTACACTGTACACAAAAACACGTTGGGTAAAAACTACTCACTGTTCTGCACCCCACACACCCGCGTTTTCATATGTCTTGTGAGTGTTCAAGCACTCTATACTCATTGTACGTCTCAGAAAATTCAGCTTTTTTCTTTTTGATTCTAAGCAAGTCTTTTTTTGTTGATACTTTCAAAACTTACACGTTGTTCACATGCTCCGCCCATGATATTTTTAGTATCCTTCTGTAGAACCAGATCGGTGTTACCCTAAGTCTCCACTTCAACCGTGAGGAAATTGTCTAGTATTTTTTTTTTCACACTATACACGGCCCAAAAACCACTCAAGATAGAGGATTGCTGAAGGTGAAGGTGGTTGTTGTATTTTATGAGGATATGTGGGAAATATAAAGATATGTGGTAGTGCTTAAGGTTATAGTTCAGTAGTATTTGTTTCTAATGAAATTTCCTTGTTTCTTAGCTAAACTTAAATAATAACATAAAAATGTTATTAATGATATTGTGGCGGACTTCACCACATTAATTTAACTTAGATTAGGAAACCAAACTGATGTGAAGAAAAAGAGGATAAGCCAAAGACATCATTACACATAAAATTTGTATTTAACAAGATTTACAAACAAGGATGTGAAAGAAAAACATGCATTGAGTAAAACAAGAGTTGTCTCTCTTTAACTATTAATTGTGTTCCAAAGTTCACTGAAAGAAAGAAGGTTGTGATAGTTTCTGGTAATAAATGTTTTCAACAGTTTTGCTGTGTAAGGAAAAAGATTATGTGAGTGTAGGGAATATTCAGCATGTGAGTGAGAAGATTTGCGCATGGTTTCAACTGTCGTGGATTCGTTTGGCAGCTGAATTCTCACTAATTATCTAAGAATATTTCTTGCTTTTATAGGTGATCATTGGCTCCGAAGCGCTGCGCGGGAAGAATCATTCTTCACGTGCAGACAATCTGATTGGTTGACATTGACTAATCAGCGAGCGAACATTGGGGAGACTCACAAAAGCTTCTGGGTCCGATTCTCCCAAAAGTGCACGAAATCGACTACATGAAAATATAGCGATTATAAAATTGTCGCATGCGATTTATAAATTGTCCATTACACAGTAGTGTTGATTTATTATCCAATGAATGCTTGTGGTTGTATAATTTGAATTTGTGTAAGTATGTATGTATATGTGTGATGATCATCATCACAATATTTTTATTTATGTGTATGTGTCTGCTGTATTGACAGAACAACTAACAACGTCTTAGTCACAAAAAGCATTAAATGTAAAAAAGGTAGATTAGTCTAAAAATTATTTTGTAGCCTCAGTTTAAAAAAAACATTAGTTTTAACAAGAGGCCGATGCTCCTCATTACTGCAAATTAAAATCAAACGAAACGCGCTGTGTTTATAATGAGTCCGGGGCAAAAAAAATTACAGCGGGATTCTCCATTATCTCCTTGCATAAAATAAGAAAAAAAAATGCTCTTCCTGCCTAATATCTTCGGGGATTAAACTTTTTAAAAAAGGAGTTAAAATTAAGGCCATCTAAAATTCGCTAATACGAATTAGCCATGAGTTAAGTAAACTGACCTGAAAATAATATTTCAACAAAACTATAACAAAGAAATGAAGAAATCAATGCTGCGATGGATAAATTATCATCTAAATTACTCAAAGAAAAAAATCAAAATAACACTCATTTTAACAGATATATTTACCAAAATTACACAAAAATAACTTGAAATACTAAAGAGTATATTTATTCAGTAAGATCGCCATTAGCTTGAACCACGTCCTCCAGACGACTTTGGAATTTCCTGCAACTCTTCTGGACGGTCTCCTTAATTAAGTTGGTGAATGCTGCCATAAAACTTACCTACCGTTCATCTTTGGTGCTGCAAGGAGATTCGATAATCTTGTGGGGGTCAATTTGCCCTCACTAATTTATACTGGACACAATTCCACAAAATAATAATAAGAAACAAGAAAGTTCAGACAAGAGACTTGCTTGGAATTAAAAAGAGAAAACTGAATTTTCTGAGACATTCAATGAGTATAGAGTGCTTTAACACTCACAAGAAGACATGTGAAGACAGTGGGTACAAATAGATTTTTATATAACAAATGTACAAAACAATAGTTATAAATGTTGTTTACAATGGTGAAATAAACTTGTCTTTTTAGATTTTTGTGTGAGGTAAGGTTCCAGTTTAATAGATTGCAAGTTGTAGGGTAATTTGTGTGAATTTGGAAAAATTCAGTTCAATGTAATATTGTTTGTATTCAAAATTATAGTGGGTTATCAGTTATAGTGAAGTGTATGAGTGTTGAAACAGATTAATTTGATTTGGCCCCCACTATAAGAGGTCTATAAAACAATAAAATCAAATTGTAAAGTGAAACAACAAATTTATATACATATAAATCAATTTAGGTTTTTACAAATAAAATTAATGTATTTTGGTTGATACAAGGTCGTCAAAATGTTCGTAGTAGTCCTTGCAAGAATGAGTTTATATGTACGTAAGCAGGAACGTATATGTGGATGTATGTATGTATGAATGTATGAGCGTTATCGTAGAGTAGGAAAGTCTTTGAAGTAATCGCTCAGTCTTAAAATGTTCCGTTCGTTTATTAAGTATAACCGAAGTGAGGGAGAAAGGTAGCGATAATAATAACG